ACACAAATTGGTGAAAAAAGTGCTGATTGTGGGGTTTCTGTGGATGGATTCTGGCAAAAAAGGAATTTGGTTTCGCTAAATGGCTGTGTTGCGGCTCTTTCAATAGACAATGGGAAGGTTTTGGATTTTGAGGCACTGTAAGCAATGCCAATTGCAGAGTAAGCTTGACAAGAATTCCAAAGAGTATCAGGATTTTAAGGAGAAGCACATTGGATGTAAAGCAAGCTACAGGGTGTCTGCACCAGCAATGGAACCTGAAGGTGCAGTGCATATGTTTAGCAGATCCATTGAAAAGCACGGTCTTTACCACACAAAGTTTTATGGAGATGGTGACAGCAAAAGCTATCTTTCTGTAAAAATATTTACGAGTCAGTTAGATAGAAGGTAGAAAAGTTAAAGTGCATTGGGCACGTTCAGAAAAGGATGGGTACTGCATTGTGGAAGTTGAAAAATGAAAAAAGAGAGTTGGGGTGAAAAAGCAAATCAACAGAAAAAATTATTGACAAAATTCAAAATTATTACGGAATAGCTATTAGAAGAAATGTTGGTAATTTGGAATCAATGAAGAAAGCAATGTAAACAACACTTTCCATTCTGCATCATCAAAGGAAAACAATTACCACAGTTACTGTCCAGATGAGAAAGATTCATGGTGTGGTTTCAAGGTGGATATTGCTGGAAACACCAAGAAATTGTAGCCAGGACCTGGACTGCCATTAAAAATGGTTGCATCAATGAAACCTGTTTTTGCACGTTTAAGTCAAGAAAGCTTGTTGAGAAAGTGTCTTTATGGAAAGACCCAAAATCAGAATGAGTCTTTTAATCGTGTGATTTGGGACAGAATTCCTAGGTCCACATATGTTGGCAGTGATGTTTTTGAGCTTAGGTTCTATGATGCTGCTGCTCATTTCAATGAGGGGTCCATAGCAACTTGTCTGGTTTTGGAAAGATTAGGATTACCACAAGGTTTCTTTACTGATGAACTGTACCAGGAGTTGGATGTCAGTCGCATTGATGCTGCTGAGTATCAGCTAAAGGAAAGTACAAAATTCTCCGAGTTATGGAGTTATGGAGCCTCAAATGTGTTGAATAATACGATATTCTTGCAAATCTTATTATGAAAGGTTTGTAAAGGAGTCAAAATCTGTTTTCCAATCATGTTGTCGAATTGGAGCACAACCTACTCAATTAATGTATCAATGCTCATCTGCAAGGTCATAAAAGTACGGCCTTCCAGGCTGTTGTGTTACTCAAGTAATATGAACATGGTGTTTGTGAGGTCCAATTATGCAGATTGCTTGGGCAAACTTGTCCGTGCTTGGAAAATGTTCTGTGGCTAATTTTGACGCTCAATAACTCGAAAACTGTGTTGAATATTAAAAAAACAATAATGTATCAGGTATTTATGCTTGATATGCTTTCATTTGAGGTAAAGTTAATTTTGCATGTCTGTTTACCTTTAAATGGTCTGTGAGCTAGGTATACTTTACTCCTATTAGCAAGTATCTGCTTATTAAAAATCATAATAACTTATAAGGTGAATGGTCATTTTAACCCAAAAGTAATGCATGTCGCACTTTCAGGAGTTCTAGCAACGGCTCTAGTGAGAGGAGTGTGTGGAGGAAAACTGAACCTTTCCCATTAAGTATATGAGTACCCTTAGTGCCATATCTTTAAACTTTATATATTAGTATATGGTTTGAGCTCAATATCATATACTTTTCATGGTGCTCATCAAAAATGTCAGCAAAGAGAAAGCATCAATGTTGGTTTTCTGGAAAATACAAAAGTACCAGCTTTCGAAATGAGTAGAAACAAGCATATCAACACTGACTGTGGGGGATGGGGAGCTATATATATTATTCCAAAAAGACTACAATTTGCCAGCCAGTCCAATAACCTTTGGCCAGGATTGTCTGATTTCTAAGCAGAATTAAAATCTATCATGACGGTTTGTTGTGTATCAGAAAGAGCTACTAGGCGCCTAGAAATGGTCTCCTTATGCTAAAAAACTAGGAAGTCTGTCTTTTAGAGTATTGTGCGTTCAAACTTCATGAAAATTAAAGAATTTCGAAAAGATGCACTTGATGTAGTAAATCGAAGAAGAGCGATGTGTTTACTTAAATTGATTTGATTTAAAGTTCTCGACGTGGGGGTCCTTCCCAGTCAATTAGCTAAAACTCACGGGTTGGTATGGTTTAATAGTGTGCACATTGCGTTTTCCTTCAGACTTTGCTATTGTACATACAGTTTGATGTTGATCTTTTTATACAAAAAATTTGTTGATAATGTCTGAAAACCTTGGAGAGAGAGAAGTTCGCAGGTGCTACCTGATTACTTACACTAGGGTAAATGAAGAAAAATTCCCAACAAGAGAGTCATTTGCTGAGTCATTAAATGAATCGTTTTCTGAAGGAAAATTCAACACAAAAGTTGTGCATTGGGTATGCGGAAAACAAGCTCATACTGACACTGGCTTACACTATCACATGGCTATCAAGTTCTTTGGAGGTATACGTTGGCTCAGAGCTAAGAATTACCTTTCTAGCAAGCATGGCGTGACTGTGAACTTCTCTGAGGGGGAAAACTGTCACAATTATTACAGTGCATACAAATATATAAAGAAAGAGGATTCCAGCCCATTACACCAAGAATGTCCAGTGGTTCAAAGCAGCTAATGAAGAGGAAACGCCAAGGAGCTGCTGATTCAGATGCAACAAATGAGCATGCAGGACCTTTAAGACAAAAAGGCAAACAGAGATTGTCGAACCTAGATGTAGCTGATGCCATTATTGAAAAAAAAGACGATAGAGAGCTTTATGCCTTGGCACAGGAGCAAAAGGAAGAAGGTAAAGACGACCTGGCAGCATTTATTGTACAGGAAGGTCACAAAAATCTGTGAATGAGCTCATTTCTTCGGCGTGGAAAATGAAAGATGCCGCAGCAATGATGGCCAGAAGCCAAGCTTCCAGAATTAGCAGAATTCAAACTGCCCTTGCTGGTCAATGTACCCCTGATGCGAAGGCCAATGGTTTATGTGTGCCAAACAGGTTTTGAGAAACAACGACGTGGCCGTTAGAGAATTGTTTATAAAAGGAAAGGGGAAATACCACAATGCGTTGATAGTAGGACCTGGAAATTGTGGCAAAACATTCCTGTTGAACCCATTGAATGTCATTTATGATACATTCACGAACCCTGAAAATTCAAGTTTCGCATGGTTAGGAGCAGAAACAAAGGAAGTCATATTCCTGAACGATTTTCGCTATACCAACAAAATAATGGCCTGTAAAGACATGCTTCTCCTCTTAGAGGGAAAAACTTTACATCTGGCCACACTCAAAACCACGTATGCCCAGGACATACTGTTTGACCAAGCCACGCCGGTTTTTGCTACTGGGAAGGAGACAATCGAGTATTCGGTAAAATACAATACCTCCGACGAGAGAGAAAATGAAATGATGGCTCTAAGATGGAAAATATTTGAGTTTTCCCATGAGATACCAGTAGGTGAACAGGAAGACATTCCAAGTTGTCCTCTCCCTGCTGCTTTGCAGAACTGATAATGAGTGGCAGCAATGTCTAATCTCATATTATTTTATTTGCAAATTTTCAAATTATCACAAGTGGCTTGCATAACGAGTTACCATAACTCGTTGGTACCTTGTTCAAATCCATACTGAGCTATGCAATTGTTTAAGGTAACCCATACCGTAGCTTGTTGATGATTCGTTGGTAACTCGTAATCATTTCCCATTATGGCATAAACGGCTTCTTTAATCGATATTTTATATTAATATTGATAAACTCATGCGTGTTGTTGGATTTGTTATTAAATAATTCCAAATTGCAAATCTTGATTTTTTATACACAGAATTAGAAGAAATATAAAACACAAAATAGTTGTAGTTCTGGTTTATTTTTATCACCTATAACCCCTCTCTCCTTCGATTGTGAAAATCTTTCAAACCCTAACATTTGCATTCAAGACCCCCGAATATTAACAAATATAGCTATTAGCAAACCCAACAACAATATTTACGGTACCTGAGACTTCATCGGCCCTTAAATAACTATCACTAGACTTTTTAATCTTTTGTGCGTTCACCTTTACAGTCTATTACCATCTGTATTCGTTTATTCGTTGATTCAATTATTTTATCAATAGTTGCTGTCCCTATCTTTGTCATAACTTTTCTCATTCTGCTTTCTAGTTCATCCATTGTCTCAGTAGTAATTTTCTTCTCTATTGCATCTCTATTGAACTTCTGCTTGACAATGTCAAAGAAATTTTTGATTGGATTCAGATCAGGACTTTGAGGTGGAATTGACAGTAGTTCCGAATTTAATTCCTTCATGACCTCTTTGGCTTGCTTACTATTTTGAGAAGGGTCACCATCTTGAATCCAGATCCTACCATTTTTGCCTGGTTTTTCTTAACAAAATTTCAAAGTTTTCTTTAAAAAACGATACAAAAAAGTTCCGTTCATTTTTTCATACCTCTGGCAACATATACCCTTGCCATAGGTAATAGCAACAATCATTTTCACGTATTTGCCCCCCTTGCCACAGGCCTGCCCTTTGCCGGTGCAGCCTTGGAAAAAGGCCCTGGCTTTTTTTACGCCAAACATGGTCTCTAGGGGCCAAGGCCTGGTCAAAAGGGTTTCTTTTGTAAATAAAGCCAACCCCATCAAGATAGAAGGCAATTTTTTCACCATAGTTCATTAGGGTCGTTTTTTTGCATCGTTTTTGCAAACTTAAGTCTCTTTGACTTATCACGCTCTGTCATCAGTCCTTTCTTTTTTGCCTGCAGGTAGCATAGTCCTTGTTTGTTTAGATAATGTGATACAGTCTGCATGAAACCGCATGCGAGTCTGCTTTCATTATGATTCTCTTGACAGTCTAGTTCGGATCTTGACTCCGTAATATTTTCACTGTCCGCTTTATCCGCCTTTTATCTCTCATGGACAATTTTGACGGTCGTCCCACAACAAACTTTGGCTTTTTTGACTCTGTTTTAATGTGTGTTGCCTCTCTTCATATGTTGAATATATGACATCTGGAAACATCTGTTTGTCTCACTAATTCTTCAACACTTGTACCTGTTTTAAAAATTATGGAAGCTCTCAGCTCAGGATATATTATTGGAGGATATGCTCTTTACTACCTATGCAGAGCTATCTCAATTACATCAAATTAAACATCACATTTAAAATCACAGAGGTCTCAAAATAACATTTTTCGTGAGGTTTGATCCTTCTTAAATTGTTGTTAATTAGTTGAAATCACAAAGAATTACAAAAAACAAGCTTCATGTTATGTAAATTATACCTCGGTTTGTTGGTGGAATGTCCTGTGTTGCAATTTTGAGTCATGCTTTTTTTCTGAATGGCTTCCCCTCTGGGTTATTTTTCAAAGATTGTATTAATTGGAGGAGAAGGCACCTCTTTTAGTTTTGTTCTATGATGCTCCAATTCTTCTTCTCTTGCTGCTGATGCCATTGTATTATAAATTTAATCAATATATGTTAAGGAGAAAGTAAGTAAAGATGATAAATTTGTTACATATAATTATTTTTTTTTATTAATTTGTAATGTTTGCTTCATATGTGTGATCTTAAAGTGTGGGCACCTTGATAGTGGACCAGTTGGCTCATTTTGTTATCATTTCAAATTTGTATAGAACATAGGGGTACAGCATTCTGTATACGGTATATACATACCATAGTTTGGAACAACACAAGTGCTTCTCACTGTTGCTTCTCCGTTTTTGAATTTCGGATATGTTTTATTAACCTGTCCTGTTCCATCTTTGTTTCTTCGTACATCACATAGAATGTTGAAGTTAAAAAATATTGAAGCCCAGGCATGCCTACATACAAAAATAGTGTCAGGAGCGGATCTAGAACTATTCTGAAGGAACAGTCAATAAAGAAGGGTGCTTATAAAAGTAATAAGTCATATCATAGAAAAGGGGTGTTTGGCTTGCAACAGGGGGGTCTAAACCAATTACAGAGCAGCCAAAGGGGGCAACTGCCCCTAGTTGCCCCAACTATATCCACCACTGAGTAGTATTATTCAAGGGACACATTCAACAATTTGTTTCTTGATGAAATGGTCTATCCATGGGATTACATACTGTGCTCTCTTATTATCCAGATTGTGAGTTTACATGAATACCTACTTACCTGCAATACATTCCAGCATGTGAGAAGTGTATCATTTTTGGGCCAAAGTGATTCAGCACTGAATTAAATGCCTCAAAAAAACTAGTCTGTGCAATAAGTGAGGCCTGTCTAACACCTTTCAGAAAACTTTCTTTCAACACAGCAGGTGTCATTTTTTATATGGTGCATCATCTAGAAGTGTTAAATTTGAATATGAAAATCAAGCAAGTAGCTTTGTGAGATTTTATGATAAAAAAATGGATTAAACAATATATTGGATACAGTTGTATCACCATTATAAAACAACTGCACTAATTTATGTCGTTATGTTAATGAGTCAATAGCATATTCAAAATATTTTGCCGATTGAATTGAATGGGTCATTTGGGAGTTGAATTTGTAGTTCCTGGTAACAGAGATATGATTTCAATAGAGATGGCTGGGTCTGTTTAAAATGCCTACCTTCATCCAGCCATTTCTTTTCTGTGATATTTTTCCCATGAAGACATTTCTTGAACAATGGTTCATCAAAACTTTCATGCTTGTTTATTACATGCTCTAAACTTTGCCAAGATCACTGCTCCATTTTCATCACGAGTTGTTGTAGCACTCCAGTATAAGTGGCGTATACATGGTTTTATCTAGTTGGACAGCTCTTCACATCCTTTGGTCTTAGCAATTTTTGTTAGAACTTTCTGGACTTCTGAAACATACAGTAAATCCTGTTTGAAACAATTTTGTATGTTTGATTCAGAAAGAAATGGAAGTGATGGAAAAACTCCAAGGCTGGAAAATATGTTTAGCATATGCTTAATCTTTTAATAACATGAGCGTAAGTATGCTCATAAGCTTTATGCTCATGAAAATGAGTGTAACAAATTTCATTGTTTATGCTTCTAAAAATGCAATAGAGCATTCTGAGTTAGAACTAAAGCAGCATCTTTACTTACTTTTTTAAATGCCACAGATCAAATAACGCTTTATATTTGGAAGTTTTTCCTTCAAATGCTTTGCAATACTCTGATGTCTGTCTGATATAAAGGTCGAAATGGTAAGTCCAGCCCCAAATTAATATGCAAGGCACCTCTTGAAGCCCTCAAATTCCATTGCAGGGCTTCTACTGACCTCATATCTCTGTTAAGCAATCCATTTGTGATTATATTGTAGTAGTGTAGTAATAAATACCAGAATAAGAGGTGAATATCACAAGCACTATTGGAAACTCATCAGATTCCTTTGTGAACCTATTTTTAGGATCCCTTGCAGTGGAACCCAAAACATTCTGTACATCGTTGCAGATGAAATTGCTATGATCTTTATGAATTTTCTAATGATTATAAAATTTATCATTATAAAAATAATTTACTTGGTCATTCAGTTAATGATCAAGTGAATTGAAAACAACAAAAATGCAAAAAATTATCCGGAATTGAAGAGTTAGATTCACCTGCACAAGAGCAAAGTGAATAATCATTGGTAGAGTACACAACATCATAGAATATGCTCCAATTTTAGCACTGTGGGCCACATTTTCATGTCTTCCATCACCAAGCTCTCTCCCTTCTGCTGTATTCTCTCTAACAACGTTTGCTGGTAATTTTGCCATTGTGCATGAATAGCTGGAAACAGAATCTCTCGTCAAAAAATAGAAATAATCTGTTCACTCTATGTTCAATTGCTATTGGGTCAGGACCTTAAGAAACATCTCAAACTTGGAGGGGCATGACACTTAAAGAGCACGTTTATCATCAGAAGGGCACTTCAATAGAATGGCAATTAGAAGGACACTTACTGATTTATCAGTTAATAATAGAATACAAAACAGAAAATCATCTGCTTGCAAAAATCTCTTACACATAATAGTTGCTAGGAGGATGGAAAAAATAGTTGGGAGGAAATATATAATAATGGAAAAACTTCTTTAAAATTTCCAAGGCACTCTGTAATAGGGCATTTTTTTATAAATAGTAAATATTGTGGGTCATTTTTTGGGCCAAGCAAAATATTTGACCTGGACCACATCAGATACACATTGCAAAAATCTTTTAGAACTTTAGAGTATTGAAAAGTTGAAAGGTGTAGCAATAAAAAATTTCAAAAGCTTCTTTATCTAGAGTGCTTGTAGGTAATAAAGAAGACACAGAATTTGACCATTTTTAATAAGGAGACACAAAATACACCTCTAGTAAAAAAACTTCTCAAATTATTCAATTTGAATGTAGCTGCCATCCATTGACGCTTGTATTTCCTCACTTGTTGTTGATGTTGATAAAGGAGACACAGAATTTGACCATTTTTCTCAAATTATTCGATTTGAATTTAACTGCAATCCATTGATGAATTTAGCTTGTATTTCCTCACTTTGGCAGACTGTTGGGGCTTCCATTTGTGGAACATCCAATTCAATGGCGCCGGTCTCGTAAGGATTTGACTGTGAAGGAATTCAAGACTTCAGCATGCATATTACAACCAATGTTCTTATTACAAAAATAGCATAAATTTCTCTTCTTTAAATAATCTTGAACTTTCACAACATTCTAGAATATACTTTTATTTTCAAAAATGTTGCATAATAGTTCATCTTGATATGATAAAGTTCAAGTAAAGGTATTTTGAACTGCACCAATGCATCAAGCTGCAATTCACCAACATAGTTTCCTTGGAGTCCATTTGAACTGAGGCACAACCAGATGGACCTGCCTTGTCTGCAAGCACCTCTTTCATTAGAGAGTTTGCGAAACAGGATGCAAAGGTCCAGACGAGCTGAGGCAGTCTAGGAACTAGTGAGGTCTTCTTGTGATTTTCCAATCCAGTGCATGGTGTTGGAGCGATCGAGTCCTGGGAATAGGGTGGTGCCCAGTCTTTCTCCTGTCGACCACTGCGTTGACATGTCTTTCGTGATAAATCGCTTCAGCTCATGACCTCAAGGTTTAGTTAGTTGGCTATTGTGGCTGAGTGTATAGTAAGCACTTTTTTGTTACAAAAATCACGTACATAGTCTCACAAATGGACATGGAGGCCAATTTTGCAACCTAGATTTTGGAATTTTACGCTGTTTGGAAAAAGTGGATATTTTCATAGTAAGTTTATGATTCAGACTTCTCCAATTTGTTAATTTTGAAGATTTAATTCTTTTTGCCATCTCAATAATATATTTTTGTTAGATTTTGATACATTTTCCAACTTTTCATATACAAAGAGTAGGAGCTGCAGAATGACTGACCAGGGGCTCAACGAGAGAAGGAACAAATAAAGTTTGCTAGTTCCGTTCTTTTTTTATAGGCCTAAGTTTGGGAGAAAAGACAGTTTTTTTAATCAACTGTTAAAAATGTCCATAACAACGGTGTTTGGGCGAATATTTTCCTTAGAAACCATGCGTTTCTCCTTGGAAAACTCCCCAAACATGTAGTAATGATTCAATTTCAAATTTCCCCCCTTTTTCCAATTGCCTGCTTTTTGTTTTAAGGCTATTTTCCTTCATGCTCCCTTGTGTTGTTGTGTTCATGTCGGTGAACATAGCACACGAAAAATAGCAAGTTGAATCATGTATTTTTTTTGTTATTTGTTCTCTATAATACCTAGAATATTCAAAAAGAGAAAAGGTTTTCATGGGGTAGAGAAATGGCAGTTTTAAAGAGAAAGGGTTGACGTTCTGGGTGTAACAGAAATCCACAACAAAACACCTGTAAGGGAACCTGAAGCCAGGAAGATACCACTAGACCATGTATGCCTAAGCCATGTACGCCCTCGCTGACAAAAAAAGGATTGAGTGCTTATGTCATCACAGAAGCTAAAGCACAGCCATTTTAAAAAGATGGACAAGAAGATGAAAACTAGAAATTTGAGCAAAAGATTAGGGGTCAAAAGAGCAGACTGCATTGAAGAGGCCCATGGAACAATAATCCAGGACTTCTCAATACTGAGTCAATGTTTAGAACAATTTGCCATCTGGTCAAGTTGTAGAAGTGCCAAGTCAAAGCTGAAAATCAAGCAGGATTATCAAAAACAAAACGGGCTGGCAGAGTCTTTATTTATAATATGCACACATTGTGAAGCAAAACTGAATTTTTCAACCAGCAGGAAAGTATCTGGATTAGGTGGAGCATTTGAAGTGAACAGAAAAGCAGTTTTAGCATGCCCAAGTCGAGCACAACTTCAAAGCTTCTGCGCAAAAATAGATTTACCACCCCCTGTTACTAAAGAGTCACATAATAACCACCTGAAGGATATTGAGAAAGAACTGAAACAAAAGTTAAGATGAAAGAAGCTGAAGACCTAATTTTGAATATTTTGAAAGTAGAAGAACCAGAAAGAGTTATAGTGACAAAGGATGGACAGGAGATTGGGGAAATACCAATCACTGATCTGCAGTAACACGTAATGCTTCTAGGCGACGGATGTGAATGTTTATTTGACCAGAAACAGAGCTTAATTGCTTAATTTTTAAAAGCTGTTCCATATTGGCACTTATGATTTTTTGTCGGTCACCAAACCTGGACTTTAACAAATCCAATGCTTCATCAAAAGCTTGTTTGTCTACAGGTGATCCTTCCAATGCTTTGGCAGCCGTACCTTCCAACAAAGCCTTCAAGTAAATAAACTTATCGACCCGGGTTAGATCCTTGTTATCAACCACAATGCTTTGGAAACTTTCCCAGAAGGAGAAGAACTTAGGACTGTCGCCATTAAATCTTTGGCAGCAATGCTTTGACTTCATTACTGTGACGTCAATTTTCCATGGTACTATCACTGCCAGTCTCCTGGAATCCTGATTATCTAGGTGTAGATTCAATTGATAGTTGGCTGTTAGCACGATGGCTTGCTGTAAGTCTTTCACCTTGATGCTGAAACTGCAGATGAATTGTCACCGATTATACTTTCAAGGAATTCTTAAATCTTGAGTAATGTTTCTCTCATAGATAGTTCAATATTTTTCTTCATCAATTAGCTCTTGAACCTTGTCTTCTAAATCCTTTAAAATGATTAGTTTGCTCTGAAAACTCCAGGTGCAGTCACAACGAGTGTTCTTTTGCTAATCTACTTAATCATATGTAGCATTTTTTGTCACACTGACTTTTCTGTTTGGTGCATTTCGTGCCTTGCAGTGGAGGAGATATCATGAACTTTTGGTACATGATCCTTTTGTTAATCTCTCACCAGATTTCACTTAAAC